ATAGAGATGCTGTACATGTTTTGTTAGAATTATAAGTCAAGTATTTTATGATTTTTGGTGCTAATATAAATGATACTTTTGGGGGGGATACTTTTGTGGTATCTGGTTGGTTCTATTTAGCATATATATCTGTAGGAGTTTTTGTTTTGTCTCTGAATTTGTATCATATGATCTTATTAACTTTCTTAATAGTTTTAGAAGTTTTCTTTTTTTTTTTTTTGTACGTAATGGTCTTTATGTACAAAGGCTTCTTCTTTCTATCCTTTCCAACTGCTTTTAACCTCCTTTTCTTGTTTTATTGGCCTGGCTAGAACTTTTGGTGTGATGCTGAATAGAATTGGTAAGAACAGAGTTGTGGCGTCAAAAATATACATTGGAAAAAAAGATAACCTATTCAACAAATGTTGCTAAAGAAAACTGGAAATCCATATCTAGTAGAATGAAATTTAATCCTTATCATTTACCTTGCATAAAAATCAAATTAAATCAAAGATTTAGAAATTAGACCTCAAACCCAACATATACTAGAAGACAGTGTAGGCCCAGCACTCCAACATGACAGCTCAGGAACAGACTTCTTTAACAAGATTACTAAAGTGCAAGAAGTAAAATCAAGAATCAATAAATGGGATGGCATCAAACTAAAGAACTTCTTCACAGCAAAAGAAACAATAAAGAACGTGAAAAGAGAGACTACAGAAAAGGAGAAAATTTTTGCCACCTGCACCTCAGATAGAGTGTTAATTTTCAGGATATATAAAGAACTCAAAAACTTAGCACCAAAAAACCAAATAACCCAAATCAATAAATGGGCAAAGGAAATAAACATACGCTTCTCAGAAGAAGAAATACAAGTGATCAACAAATATATGAAAAAAAATGTTCAACTTCTCTATTAATTAGAAAATACAAATTGGAACTACACTGAGATAACTTTCATTCTCACCCCTGTCAGAATGGAAGTTATCAAGAATACAGGTAACAATATATATTGGCAAGGATGTGGGGAAAAAGGTACAATCATACATTGCTGGTGGGACTGCAAATTGGTGCAACCACTCTGGAAAAAGCAGTATGGAGATTTTCCTCAAAAAACTAGGAATGGAACCACCATTTAGCCCAACTATACTATTCCTCAGTTTATATCCAATGGATTTAAAATTGGAATATTACAGTAAAACAGCCACATCAGTGTTTATAGCAGCTCAATTCACAATAGCTAAGTTATGCAACCAACCGAGGTACCCTTCAACAAATGAATGGATAAAAAAATTATGCTCTCGCAAGGCTGGTTCAATATACGGAAATCAATAAATGTTATTCACCACATCAATAGACTTAAAAATAAGAACCATATGATCATCTCAATAAATGCGGAAAAAGCATTCGACAAAGTACAGCATCCCTTTATATTCAAAACTCTAGAAAAACTAGGGATAACAGGAACATACCTCAATATTGTAAAAGCTATTTATGCTAAGCCTCGGGCTAGCATCATTCCGAATGGAGAAAAATTGAAGGCATTCCCTCTAAAATCTGGAACAAGACAGGGATGCCCTCTCTCTCCACTTCTGTTCAACATAGTTCTCGAAACACTGGCCAGAGCAATTAGACAGACGAAAGAAATTAAAGGCATAAAAATGGGAAAAGAAGAACTTAAATTATCACTATTTGCAGATGACATGATTCTATACCTAGCAGACCCAAAAGGGTCTACAAAGAAACTATTAGAGCTAATAAATGAATTCAGCAAAGTGGCAGGATATAAAATCAACATGCATAAATCAAAGGCATTCCTGTATATCATCGACAAACCCTCTGAAATGGAAATGAGGACAACCACTCCATTCACAATATCTTCAAAAAAAATAAAATACTTGGGAATCAACCTAACAAAAGAGGTGAAAGACTTATACAATGAAAACTACAGAACCCTAAAGAGAGAAATAGAAGAAGATCTTAGAAGATGGAAAAATATACCCTGTTCATGGATAGGCAGAACTAACATCATCAAAATGGCGATATTACCAAAAGTTCTCTATAGGTTTAATGCAATGCCAATCAAAATCCCAACGGCATTTCTTGTAGAAATAGAGAAAGCAATCATGAAATTCATATGGAAAAATAAAAGACCCAGAATAGCAAAAACAATGCTAAGCAGGAAGTGTGAATCAGGCGGTATAGTGATACCAGACTTCAAACTATACTACAGAGCAATAGTAACAAAAACAGCATGGTACTGGTACCAAAACAGGCGGGTGGACCAATGGTACAGAATAGAGGACACAGAAACCAATCCACAAAACTACAACTATCCTATATTTGATAAAGGGGCTAAAAGCATGCAATGGAGGAAGGATAGCATCTTCAACAAATGGTGCTGGGAAAACTGGAAATCCATATGCAACAAAATGAAACTGAATCCCTTTCTCTCGCCATGCACAAAAGTTAATTCAAAATGGATCAAGGAGCTTGATATCAAATCAGAGACACGCCGTCTGATAGAAGAAAAAGTTGGTTACGATCTACATACTGTGGGGTCGGGCTCCAAATTCCTCAATAGGACACCCATAGCACAAAAGTTAATAACTAGAATCAACAAATGGGACTTACTCAAACTGAAAAGTTTTTTTCTCAGCAAAAGAAACAATAAGAGAGGTAAATAGGGAGCCTACATCCTGGGAACAAATCTTTACTCCTCACACTTCAGATAGAGCCCTAATATCCAGAGTATACAAAGAACTCAAAAAATTAGACAATAAGATAACAAACAACCTAATCAACAAATGGGCCAAGGACCTGAACAGACACTTCTCAGAGGAGGACATACAGTCAATCAACAAGTACATGAAAAAATGCTCACCATCTCTAGCTGTCAGAGAAATGCAAACCAAAACCACCCTAAGATACCATCTCACTCCAGTAAGATTGGCAGCCATTATGAAGTCAAACAACAACAAGTGCTGGCGAGGATGTGGGGAAAAGGGTACACTTGTACATTGCTGGTGGGACTGCAAATTGGTGCAGCCAATTTGGAAAGCAGTATGGAGATTTCTTGGAAAGCTGGGAATGGAACCACCATTTGACCCAGCTATTCCCCTTCTCGGTCTATTCCCTAAAGACCTAAAAAGAGCATGCTACAGGGACACTACTACATCGATGTTCATAGCAGCCCAATTCACAACAGCAAGACTGTGGAACCAACCTAGATGCCCTTCAATAGACAAATGGATAAAAAAAAATGTGGCATTTATACACAATGGAGTATTACTCTGCATTAAAAAATGACAAAATCATAGAATTTGCAGGGAAATGGATGGCATTAGAGCAGATTATGCTAAGTGGAGCTAGCCAATCCCTAAAAAACAAATGCGAAATGTCTTCTTTGATATAAGGAGAGTAACTAAGAACAGAGTAGGGACGAAGAGCAGGAGAAGAAGATTAACATTAAACAGGGATGAGAGGTGGGAGGGAAAGGGAGAGAGAAGGGAAATTGCATGGAAATGGAAGGAGACCCTCAGGGTTATACAAAAGTACATACAAGAGGAAGTGAGGGGAAAGGGAAAAATAATACAAGGGGGAGAAATGAATGACAGTAGAGGGGGTAGAGAGAGAAGAGGGGAGGGGAGGGGAGGGGAGGGGGGATAGTAGAGGATAGGAAAGGCAGCAGAACACAACAGACACTAGTATGGCAATATGTAAATCAATGGATGTGTAACTGATGTAATTCTGCAATCTGTCTATGGGGTAAAAATGGGAGTTCATAACCCACTTGAATCAAAGTGTGAAATATGATATATCAAGAAATTTGTAATGTTTTGAACAACCAACAATAAAAAATTTAAAAAAAATTATGCTCTCTTTCTCTCTCTCTCTCTCTCTCTCTCTCTCTCTCTCTCTGTATACACACACACACACACACACAATGGAATATTACTCAGCCATAAAGAAGAATAACTTTATGACATTTGTAAGTAAATGGAAGCCAATCCCAAAAAATTAAAGGGCAAATGTTTTCACTGATATGTGGAAGCTAGCACTCAATAAGGAGAAGATGGGGGGAGAATTAGATATTCAGTAGACTTTACAAAGGGGAAAGAGAAAAGGGAAAGGGGAATGGGAAAAGGGAAGACAGTGGAATTAATCTGAAATAATTTTCCAGTGTACTTATATGAATATACCATAGTGGATCCCACCATTAGGTACATCCATAAAAATGATATCCTAACTAGAATAAGATATACTCTATGCTTGTATATGGAAAAAAATGTTCAACTTCTCTGTTAATTAGAGAAATTCAAATTGAAACTATAAACTCAGTGACATCTATATAATAATATCAAAATGAATTCTACTACTGTGATGTATAACTAAAAAAAGCCACCACCCACCCAAAAACAACAACTACTAAAAAAAAAAAAAGTGGCTTTTGTTTTGTTTTGTTTTGTTTTGATATTAAAGGAAAAGCATTTCATCTTTTGCCATTATGATGCTAACTGTGAGGATTTTTGCAGATGTCCTTTATTCTTGTCTATACTTTTTGTTCTTTTGTTTGCTGAGAGCTTTTATTTGTCATGAAAGAATAAGGAACTTTTCCTGCATTTGTTGACATGATTACATGTTTTTCTTCTTTAATCTGTTAATGTGGTGAATTACACAAATTGATTTTTGATGTTGAACCAGCCCTGCATTCTTGGGATAAACCCTGTGTGTTTATGGTTTTACCTTTTTGATAGTGCTTTATTTAATGTGCTAACATCTCTTTTTTTCTTCTAACCAAAAACACCTTTATTTTTCAGTCTTCAAAAAACAAACTAATTTCTTCTTTTTCCAAGATAATCATGATTAACTTAGAAAAATGGTCATACAGTATATCTTCAAAGCATTTCCCTTTAATGGGAAAATTGGCTTTACATAATCTAAACATTAGACTATTAAAAAATCTATTTTGTTGCCATTATAAAACAAAATGGAATCTATTATAAGTCAAGGAAATTTGTTCACACTTCTGGTCCTTCTCCATCAGGAACCAGCATTGTTATATTATATCCGTATAGCAAAATCTGATCTAATTTAGTTATCCTCCTTCCTTCTGGTGTGATTGCAAACTCAGTGACATCTGCCAGCACCATATTGACAAAGTCATCAAATTCTAGAAGTGTTCCAACAATTTCGTTATCACTCTTCATCACAGTGTAAATTTTTGATCCTATATACTTGTCCACAAGCTCTAGCGGTTGCATTTTTAGCTGCCATGGCTAAACAGGAAGTGGCCAGCCAACATGCTAACATCTTGTTGAGGAATTTTACTTCTGTGTTTACCAGGGATATTTCTTTGCAGTTGGTAATGTTTTTTGTCTGATTTTAGTATCAGGGTAATGCTGGCCCCATTTCTGTGTAGAATTGGTGTTATTTTTGAAGTACTAAGAAAACTTTTCCAAGGAGGCATCTGGACCTGCATTATTAGAGATTTTTCAACTGCAAATTTAATTTCTTTAATAAATTTATGACCATTCAGGTTATTAGGTCTTTATGTGAGTAAGCTTTAATACTTTATTATTTGCAGGAAATTTTTCCATTTTGTAGAATTTGTGTGGGCATAAAGTTGTTCAAAAGTATTTCCTTATGACTCTTGAAGAGTATCTTACATTATATGTATAATTATATTATAAATTTTATAATACCACTAGTATCTGTAATTGTGTGCCCTCTTTAATTTCTGATACTGATAGTTGTGGCTTCTTGCAGTTAGTCTGGTTAGCTTTTGTTGATTTCATTGATCTTTTTTAAAAGAAGCATCTTTGAGTTTTGTTGATTCCCACCCCCTCCCTTTCCTGTTTTCAGTTACATTGATTTCTGAAGCTGTTTTCTTTCTTTGCCTTTAGTTTCTCTTTCTTTTTTTCTTTTTAAGGTGGATATTTAGATTATTGATACTAATTTTTTCTAAAGTAAGCATCTGCTGCTATAAATTTCCATCTAAAGACATTTTTAGCCACATGCTACAAATTTTAATACACTTATTGCATCTTCATTCAGGCATAAAATGTTTTTTTTCTCTTGTGACTGAATTTTTTTTAATTTATTTTTTAACTTTAGGTGGACACAATATTTTTATTTTATTTTTATGTGGTGCTGAGGATCGAACCCAGTGCCTCATTCATGCCAGGCGAGAGTGCTACTACTTGAGCCATACCCCCAGCCCTTGTGACTGACTTTTACTTTGAGTGAAAGTGTGTTGTTTAATTTATAGACATTAGGGGATTTCCCAAAGTTCCCTGTTAACTGATTTCTAGGTTATTTCTATTATGTTAGAGAATGTACTTTATATAATTTCAACTCTTATAAATTGTCAGTTTGTTTTATGGCCTTAGAATATAGATGCTCTTGATAATTGTGCATTTTAAGAGTAAGTTTTTGTTAATGTTAGGTGCAGTATCCTATAAATAACAGTTTTGTATAGTTGATTGATAGTGTTGTTCAGGTATTCTCTTAATTTTCTTTCTGCTTGTTTTGTCAGTTATTGGTTTTCTTAGAGTTTACCCTTCCTGAGGTTGACTAAGCCTCTTGGATCTATAAGTTGAAGTCTCCAAATATAATTGTAGATTTGTCTATTTCAATTCCATTTGTTTTTGCTTTCTGTATTTTTAAGTCTTATTGAGTGCCCTATGCTTATTTAGGATTGTACATCTTTTCGGAGAACTTTTTATCATTATGTAATGTGCCATTTGATTTGATACCAACATAGTCACTCCAGCTTTATTATGATAGTGTTCTGTGGTGTATCTTTTTTCATCCTTTCAGTTTGTCATTATATTCACAGTGAGTTTCTTACACAAGCACAGAGTTGGTTCTTGGTTTTTAATCTGATTTAACTGTTATTTTTAATTGGTATGTTTAGAACACTTATATTGTATAAAATTATTGATATAGCTGAATTTAGGTCTCACATTTAAATTTTCCTTTCTGTTTATTCCCTTGGTGTTTCTTGGTTTCCTTTGTGGCCTTTTTAAAGATTATTTGAATCTAAATATTTTAAATTAATTTTGATTTAATTTAACTTCTGTTGTTTTTTTAGTTTTATCTGCTGATATCCTTTTTTATGGTATTATAGTAAATATACTAAGTTTTAACAGTCTACTTTGAATAAATATTTTGCCACATCAAGAGGAATGTAGAATCTAACAATTGTATAAATCACTGTACTCTCTCTTTTATGTTATAGTTATGAGTATTACATATCCATGCATTTAAACTCTGTAAGACAGTGTTTATATTTTTGCTTTCAACAGTCATGCTTATTTTCAAAACTTAGAAAGGCATAAATAGTATATGTATTCAGATATTTATCATTTCTGTTACTTTTCTTTTATTCCTGAAATTGTTTCTTTTTGCTCTAATTTCTCTGTAGTCTGAATAATTTTATTTAGAACTTTCTCTAGAATAGGTCTTTACCAAAAAATACTTTGTTTTCCCCAATTTAAGAATGCCTATATTTCATTATCATTCCTGAGTGATGTTTTTGCTGGTTATAGAATTCTGAGTTGACACCAGTTTCTTTTAGCACTTTAAATGTAGTGTCCTATTGTATTCTGTCTTCTATGAGTGGTGGTAAGAAATTTGCAATTATTTGAAGATTTGTTCTATATTAGGTATTTTGTATTTCTCTGTTTTCAAGGTTTTTTTTTTTTTTCCCCCTGTTGTCTTTGCTTTCCAGTGTGACTTGATTATGTGGTCTGTTTGGGCATGGTTTTCTTAAGAGTTTACCCTTCCTGAGGTTGACTAAGCCTCTTGGATCTATAAGTTCAAATTATTCTTCCAATTTGAGAAGTTTTTTAGTAATTATTTCTTCCAGAGTTTTCTGTCTCTCCTATGGACACCTAGTAATACAAACATTAATAAACCTTTTGCTCTTCTCAATTTTGAACAGAGGAGATAATTTCTGTCTTGAAGTTCACTAAGGAAACCTCTGTCATCTTCTTGTGCTATTGATCCCCCTTGGTATATTTTTTTTAATATTTTTTTTCACTTCTAAAATTTCTGTTCAGGTCTATTTTATAGATTGTATTTCACTTCTGATAATTACGTTTATAATTTTTTAAATAATGTACCTTTATCTCATTGAAGAGTTTAGTGATCACTATAAATTGTGTGGGCTGATAATTCTAACATTGTGTTTATTTTGCTTGGCATCTGTTGGTTTTTTTTTTTTTCTTCCCTTAAGAATTGGTCACATTTTCCTGTTTCTTTGTAAACTGAATAATTTTAAATCATGAAGATTTTGATTTTTGTATTGTGGAGTCTGGGTTCTATTAAAATCCTCTGGAGATTAAAATACTTTTTTTTTTTTTAAGCAAGCAAATCAATCACAATAGGTTTAGATCATACCTTGTTTCCCTTTCTTCAGGTGATGATGTCTGTTAGTTTTCAGAGCTTTGGCTGTGCTACTGTGCTGCCTTCATTCTGTCTCATGCACATGAGATGTGACCAGGACTTAAAAGATTCCCCCTCCCTTCTCCTGAATTGAGGGTCTCTTTTTCAGTTCTTATACCAGGAAAATAAAGTTTTTCTCAAGGTTTTGCTGCATGAGCCCTCTACAGAGTATGAGGTTAATCTGTTGTCAAAACCAGGGGAAATATAGTACGGGTTACTTCTTCAAGTTTTATTTCCCTCTCAATCTGCTTCCTTGTGTTTACTTCTCAGAGTCCTCAGGTTATTGTTCTTTGTATTTTGTTCAGAGTTTTATTAGTTGTAATCATTGGCAGAGGTGGTGGGCATAATCCATCTTAATTGACTGTTGTTTTTTTTTTTTTAATTGGCATTTAAAAATACAGAAATATAGATTGTAAATATCTGTGGCTTAGGTTATGGCTTTTTAAAAATTTTATGTTAGTAAAATTTACTTCATACTTAAGATAATCCAATGCTGTAAATATGAAAGAATGTAAAGAATCTCTTTTGGACAAATCAAGCATAAACAGTGATCATTTCTGTCTCCATTATTCAGGTGGCTAACAGAAAACTGATTGAAACACACAGTGACATGCACACATACCTTTTCAAAGAGAAAGTGTTATGAATGTACTGCTATCATGTTTTAAAAGTAGTAAACTTGAACTTTTAAAATGTATAAAATACTTGCTTGAATTAACCACCTTTGAAGAATGTAGATCATGAGTTGTCCCTTTACTTTAAATTCTTTATTGATTTTCCTTTGAAAGATTAGTGAAATTTTGGTTAGTATTTATTTAATTTATACAAAAAACTGCATTTAGTGATTTTATTTATGTAAAGATTGGTTCTTGGTTTAATTGTTTAAGGACTGGTTTAAATGAATTTTAGTTTTAAAAGATATTTCACTGTTTTTTTTTTACCCAAACTATTTGTACTGTTGTTATATACGATACATGGTGTATGTATTATACACACCACAATTAGTATCTTTGTTTGTTTCCATATTAGTGTTCATAAAGCATATACATATATATATATATATATATATATATATATATATATATATATACACATACACCAATTGATAAACATAATAAAGTTTGAAATTCCTGTAGGGAGACTGGGAAATTATTTTTGTGTCCATTGTATGACCTTATTATTTTATTATAAACAAATAATCTTAGAAAGTTGCCACTTCATGCAGAACCATGAAATGGTATATTGTAGCATCCAAGTATAGAATCTTTTGTAAACTAAATCTTAGGATTCTGTATATTACTGACTTTTCCCCTAAGATATCACAGAAGTAGGAAGATGATTACAATTGTCATTTGTGAAATATGTTTCCTCTTTATGTTTAACAGTATTTGGATCCTAGGTTCAGAGTTGGGACCTATTGCCCTCCCCCTATTTAATTCTATATTATATTTGTGGCTTGCTTTAGGAGAACTGAGTTATAACAGTGGCAAACTTGCATTTATCTTGAAGTGATTTAAAATTTATCTTTAGCTGTTACGTAAGAATTGGAGATTTTTGTCATTTTAAAAAATTTACTTTTTCTACCTTAAATTAGGTGCTCTGTGGATGTGTATAGTTTTAAATCCCCACTGCAAGTTGGAGCAGAAAGCGAGTTGGCTAAAACAGCTGAAAAAGTGGAACAGTGTTGATGTCTGCCCTTGGGAAGATGGAAATCATGGCAGCGAATTACCCAACTTAACTAATGCTCTGCCTCAGGGTG